CCTCCCTGCTGGTCCTATCAGGCCGACCCTGATTGACGTGGCCGCCATTGCGCACTTGCCAATCGTAGGCGACGATCCTGTTCTGGTCTCTTTTGAGGGTCGAGAACCTTCACCCAACCATGCTGGTTGGGCCTTGGCTAAGCTCCCTGAAAAAGAAAGGGGTTGGACCAATTTTGTTAACAAATACCAGGGTGCGTACCAGGGTAAGGAAGGCACCCCTGATTCTGAACTGGAACATACAGCCTTCCTCATTTTCTGGCTCTGCAGGTACACCTTCTCCCTTTTTAATCTCTTTCGTATTTTGAAGTTGGATATTTTGATTGAATCCTTTTTCTTTTCTTTACAGATACATCATTCTTTCCCCTTCTAAACTTGTTCTCTCTACACAAGTTGATCTGGCTATTCAATTGGCCTACGACCAATTTTTTTCGTTGGGAACCCCTTTTTTTAGCTAACCTTTTTTAGGGTTTAACCCGAGTGAGCACCCGTCTAACCGACACCAAAAAGGCAGACACTGCAGCTTCGGGACCATTCTGGTTCCTAGAACTGTGGCGTCGTCTGTACTTCCCTTCTGCATTCTTTGGCTGACTTCCTATCGCTCCAAACCCATACAGGTCCATTGGTTATGCTTTAGCCAGATTAACCCCTAATTCTTCCTATCTCTATCCATCCGACCCTGTTATCGCCCAAATTCTAACTGAGGATCGTAGCAATTCCCGCTTTTATGTCTACGAAACTTTGATACAATATTCGACCGATCTCTTTTTACTTAACCCCCGACACATCTCCTTCTCAAACTCATCCCGATCCTTTTCCTCATCCGACCTATTTTTTTTCTTGGGACGTTGCCATGAAACCCCGATCCCTGTTTTCCAATAGGAGGTCGGACAAGAAAAACTGCAGATTATTTTATACTTACAATTATCAACCCCAATTTTTGGCCTGACAGTTCGGTTGCTGTCAGGGTATTCCAGGACCACTGGCCCGACCTCATCTGATACCTCAAAGCCCAGACGGGCTAGTGATTCCGAGCTTATCCCGACCTACGTTTCCCATCTCACCGACTACATCACCTCCAACTCATACTTACCTTTCTGCCTAAAACCTTCAGCGACCGAAACTTTTCCTGCTTGGTGGTCGGCTACCTGGTCTTTGATTGCTCCATCGACTGACCAATTGGTTGGGAGACTTACCCCACCTCCAGTCTTGGCGCTTGGCTTTCCTCGATTGGCTACTGCCCCAAGAAGAAAAAGGCAGGCGCCTGCTGTAGGTGGGCCTGGGGCAAATAAGCAAAAGCAGAAGGTCACCCCTACGATTGACAGGCAGGCTATCGAAGAATATTTGGCATCTCTGCCAGTAGACACCAGCAGAATGCCAAAATATTTGAGGGAACAATTCGGTAAGTTTGTTCCCTTCTATATTTCATTTTCCATGCAGACCTTTCTTAACTTAAAATCTTCTATTTCAGAGGGTCCTTCATTGCCGCCGACCACTGCCCCATCTATCTCTCAACCGACCGAACATCAACCGACCGAACATCAACCAACCATATCTCAACTGACTGCGGCGCAATTACCTATCAATCTGACTTCGTCTCAATCAACCGCCGTCCCGACCATAGACCAACCGACTGTGGTCCCGACTGCAGACCATCCGACCTCGGTCCCGACCGCAGACCAACCGACCTCGGTCCCGACGGTAGACCAACCGACCTCGGTCCCGACTGCAGGCCAACCGACTGCGGTCCCAACCGCAGACCAGGCGACCTCGGTCCCGATTGCAGACCAACCGACTGTGGTCCCGACCGCAAACCAGCCGACTACTATGCAAACCGAGGTAAGTCTTTCCTGATATTCCTTAGAAAAGAAAATATTTACTCCAACCATTAACTTCAACCCTCTTACTGTAGGCACACCGACCGGAAGAATCGGCGGGAAGGCAAATTATTCTTCCATCTCTTCCAGCATCTGATGTGGTCACGGCGACGCCCGACCAACTCGTTGCTTTCCCCGATCAAGTTGTGGAACCATTATAGGTAACTGTCAGAATCTTTTGTTGTTCTTTTACAGAACCTCTGACACTTGCAATTTATTCCAACCAGGAACCTATTGTAATTGCGGTAGTGCCCGAACCTGACCAGGTCGTAGAATTGCCCGACCCAGTCGTGGCACCACCCGACCAAGCTGCTATCGTGCTACCCTTGCAACCAGCCGCTCAGCCAATCGATGAGGTTCCTCCTGTTGCTCCTTAACCAATCCAACCGAACCCTCCGCCTCATGACATAGAGGAAATTTCCTCTTCTAAGTCGGGCGAGGCGTCAGTCAATTTTGCCCCGAGGGGTTCGGTTAGTGTTCCATCTCATCCATTTTCTAAATTTCTTCTCTTCTTTCTTGTTTAACTCTCTTCGTTCAGGGAATGGAACTGGCTGTCGCTCATCGTCTTCAATCAGGGGATGAGTCGGTTGCCGGCCCAACCACTCATCATGATGCTTCCGTAATGTTCCAACTCATGGCTCCTTCTGAAGCAACGACCGCCCTAAATCAGGTAAATTTTAACTATTGTAATGAATCCTCCATGTCTCCCAACTTACTGTCTTCCTTCTGCTTTAGGCTGCCCAGGAGATGAATATTCTTGCCCGAGTAAACCTCCCGACCTCCATCAGAGCTATTGTAGAATGCTGTGCCGACTTAGCTTTTGTTGACTTGAATGTAGCCGACCTCACGGCACTAGTTCAGGTCGCAATAACCCTGTTGGTTCAGCCCACCTTGGAGTCAGGAGATTCCCCCATCCTTGACCAGATGATGGCTAGGATCACCGAACTTCAGGCCGAACTGCCTCTCATCCGCCCCCCCATAATCCAAAGCCACTTCATCTCAACCGACTGTTGATCCGACCAATCTTGAGGCAGACTTGAAGAAGGTCGATCAGGACCTTAATCTTGCTAAAGCCAAACTGGACGAACTCCGACAAGCGTGGCATACGTTAGCAACTGAGATCTCTCAAAAGACGGAAGAACTTAGACGCCTCCACGAACAACTGAAGTCCCTGGATGATAGCATCCAGGAAGGGAATCGTCTGGTTGAGGCACATTGCCTTAATCAAACAAGTCTCTGCGAGCAACTCCAGACAGCTATACAAACGAGACTTGTCCAGAGACACCAGGAAGCTTACCAACGTCAGCGGGCAATTAAATCAGAACTAAAGTGGACTGACCTCCGGACTGCTTTAAGAGCCCTGCTTTCTATGTGACCCAACACGGCTTGTATAGAGTTCCAGACTTAATTTATAAATTCCCTATTTTCAGAACAAAGATCCTATGTTCCTTGCGCTTATACTAAGTCAGACATCAAATACAGATCCACATTTTTTGCGTATTTAATAAACCACCTAAAATTAGATAACACAATATCTATATAAACTCCCTACCTTTTACTGCAAACGTCAATATCATCTTTCTCATCATAACTCAATCATGGTTTCTTCTCGCGTTCGTGTCCCTTCTTCCAACTGGGAAGGTTCTCTCCAACCATTCTTAGTAGGAAAATACCCCATAGGTCATCATGCTGAAGACATGATACATGTATTGAAGCAACTGGATTTTAAATTTAGGTTCTCTGGCAGAGGCAGGAGGACCATTCACCGCACGATCCGACTGATGGAACGCGTATCCACCAGTTACGAACCCTTCACCGACATACTCACTCATATATCTGATCTCGATCATCATTTGGACATAATAAACCATCATGTAACTGCTATTCTCCCAGACCTCAGTTGGAACAACATTTTCCAACAACAAAGGTCAACACTCTCCAGACTGAGCGTCCTTGCCGAACGAGAGAGTCAATCTCTGCAAGATATGAAAGCTCGGACCGAACAAGATCTTCAAGACCTGCAGGATCAGTGGGATCGCTACCGTCTGGATTTGGACGACCTCTTGGATGAAGAACCTTAAATGGTTTCTGCAGGTTGGGATGAAACCTCTAACCTTTCTGATTAATAGAGAACCTTTTTCCTAATAGGTTCGAACCCTTTGAAGGGTTCTTAAATTTAAAAACATAAGAATTAATGACAATGTCCTGAAAAGGCAGGGTAATACATTTTCAGATAATTAGCATTAATATTCTCATGTACCAGCTTTCCTTCTTGATTTATGATAATAAAAGCTCCATTCCCGATTACTTTATGAATGATGAAAGGACCTTCCCAATTGGGAGACCACTTCCCAAGTTGATCCACCTTCTTGTAGGTGGGCAGAATTGTCTACCAGACCAAATCCTCTTCTGCAAAAACCTTTGGGAACTCTCTTTTCCCATAGTATTTAGCCCTAATATCACTCTGTCTAACCACTTGATCCAAAGCGTTTAACCGATCCGTATCCACTTCTTCCAATTGCTGCCACATTCTTCGTGCATACGCCTTGTCAATACATGCTGTAGTATTAGTCACTCTGGGTGAAGAAACAACAAATTCTGCAGGTAACACAGCATCTTGCCCGAACGTCAATTGGTATGGGGAAAATCCAGTAGAAATATTTCTACTATTTCGGTGGGCCCACAATGCCTGAGACAACAACGTGTGCCATTTCCTTGGATTTTCTTCTACCATTTTTCGGATGATGCCAATAACGATCTTATTTGCCGCTTCGGCCAACCCGTTTGCCTGTGGGTAATATGGTGAAGAATGATGCAACTTGATGTTAAATTCAGCCAAAAACTCAACGAATTTTTTCCCAGTAAACATCAACCCTTGATCGGTTGTAAGAGTGTGCGGAATTCCAAACCGGTACACGATGTGATTAAGCACGAACTCGATTACCTCTTTCTGCGTCGCATTCTTCAAAGAAACTGCCTCTACCCATTTGGTGAAGTAATCAGTTACCAGAATGAATGTGTGTTGCTTCGATGAGGTCGGATGAATTTTCCCAATTACATCCACCGCCCAGGCTTTGAATAGCCATGGCTTAACCATCGTTTGCAATTCTACTGTTGGCAGATGATTTAATGGACCATGTCTCTGGCATTCCTGGCATCACTTAGCAAATCTGATGCAATCATAAAAAATCTTTGGCCAATAAAATCCCATACGATGGATAGCCCATCGCATATTTAAACCTGCTCGGTGTGCCCCACAGATTCCACCATGAACCTCCTCTATTACTTTAATGGATTCTTCTGGTCCTAAACACCGCAATAACACTCCTTCAAAGGTCCTTTTATACAGAACCCCTTTGATAAGCTGGAAGCGTAAGGCTTTCAACCGAATGCCCAGCGGAGTCACAGAACTTGGTGATTCCAAATACACCATAATTTCTATTCTCCAATCAATCCTGGAATCAATATTCCCAATCATTTGTCGACAGGCACTCTGAGCCAAATTGTCTGCCAACCGATTTTCTGTTCTCGGTACATGCTCAAAAACTACCTCTGCGATCTTGTATAACAGATGGAATACCGTATCTCGGTATCTATGCAGATGAGGATAGTTACAAGCATACCGTTTCAAAACTTGGTTAATGACGAGTTGGGAGTCTCCACAAATTATGATAGATTGTACTCCTTTAGCGATAAGCGCTTCCAAGCCCAAAATTAATGCTTCATATTCTGCGGAGTTATGTGTCATCTCTTCCATTTGAAGCTGCAAACTAATTTTGCTGCCACCTGGTCCTTCTAAGATCACCCCCGCTCCCGACTTTCCTTTCGATAGAGAACCATCAAAAAACATTTTCCAAAAACTAGTGCCTATATACGGCACTAATTTGTTTTCCAATGGTTGATCACTTGCAAATTCAGCCAACAAGTCGGCTACAACCTGCCCTTTCACCTCTTTGAGAGGTCGGTGTCGCAACGCGAAAGGAGCCAACTTGATAGCCCACTTCATTAATCTCCCTTGCATGGTTGGTCTGTGCAGAATTAATTTGATTAAATCCATTTTGGAAACCACCTCGGTTTCTCTTGGCAGAATATAGTGCTCCAACCGAGTACACGCAAAAACTAAAGAATAACGCATTTTTTCGGGCATAGTATAATTCAACTCTGGTCTTGCCAAAGTTTTGCTTAAGTAATAAATGTCATTTCCTTACCATCCTCCCATTCTTGCACCAACAAGCTACTCACGACATCAAAGCTATTTGCAACATACAGCCGAAAGGGGCGATCCCCTCTTGGAGGAACCAACACAGGTGGTTTTATTAACGCCTGCTTGATTTCTTCTAATGCCTTCTGCTGCTCCTGACCCCAAGCAAAGTTAGTCGCCTTATTCCGTAGCAACTTTGTGATAGGTTTTAATTTCCCTGCGGCGTTTGATATAAAACGCCTTAGGTAATTTACCTTTCCCAACAAACTTTGTACTTCTTTGACCGACTGAGGCGACCGCATTGACAAAACAGCCTTGGCTTTGTTCGCATCAATTTCTATCCCTTTTTCATGTACTAAAAACCCCAAGAAATTCCCTGCCGAAACTCCGAAGGCACATTTCGTTGGGTTCATTTTCAGGTTGTATTGCTTCATTCGAATAAAAGCATTTTTTAAATCAACCAGATGTGTATCGAAGTCGGTGGACTTAATGATTACATCATCAATGTATACCTCCATCGATTGCCCGATCAGATCATGAAAGATGGTATTCATCGCCCGTTGGTATGTTGCTCCAGCATTCTTTAAACCGAATGGTATAACCGTCCATTCGTAGATTCCCAAGGCCCCTGGGCATCTGAACGCGGTTTTGGGTATATCTCTTCTGCTAGCGAAATTTGATTATACCCTGCATATCCATTCATTAAACTTAAAATCCGATGACCTGCTGCCGAATCGATCAACATGTCTGCTATGGGCATAACGTACTCATCTTTTGGAGTGGCGAGATTGAGATCTCTGAAATCAATGCAGATTCGAATTTTTCCATTTTCTTGGTTACCGGAACAATATTGGCTAACCATTTCACATATCGACATGGTCGAATGAATCCGACCTTCAATAACTTCTCGATTTCTTCTTTGATATGGGGCATCAATTCTGGACTCACTCTCCTAGGTGGTTGCTTATATGGTTTAAACCCTTTCTTAATAGGCAACCTATGCTCTATCAAATTGCGCGCCAATCCGGGCATTTCAGAATAATCCCATGCCAGACACTCCTTATGATCCCGAATTAACGATACGATTTGTTCCTGTTGGTTTTTTGATAATAAACCACTTACCCCGACCATCTTGGGTATCTGTTCGGTTCCTACATTATACTTAATGAGAGGATCCTGACTCGACAAAGAAGTTTATGTCTTCTCCAAAAGATCAGGCCAGCGAAAACCTTCTCCTTCGCCAACATTATTGTTGGAACCTTCGCTATTATGTAACCTAACTATTAATTGGTTTAAATAAAACTGCCTAATCAGCTTATCACATTTATTTATTTCTCCCATATTTAAACTTAAATAAATAAAAGTTTATTTTGGCTAACAACAGAGCCATAATACAGAAGATTGTTTCTAATGAAACACATAACCCTGTGCAGTGAGCCTACAGCCCTTCCAGGGATACTTGTCTACCACAGTTTTCCGTGAAATCGGTGCTACATACTCTGAATAAAGAACCGACTCTTCCACACCTTCTGTAGAACCGAATGGATTGGTACTGGCTTCCATGGTGAACACCTGGTCTCCTTCCCAAAACATGATATGTTGAGGGAAAGAAGAAGGTACGCATTTGGAAGCGTGAATCCAATCTCACCCCAACAAAACCGAATAAGTAGTATTGGCATCTACTACGAAGAATACTGTTGACATCACCTTGGGTCCGACCTCAATAGGTGCCACCATCATTCCCTCTGGTTTGGTTGGTTGTCCGGTGAAACTTGTCATCTCAATATCTACTGGAGACAGGTCGCCGATCCCTTTGCCCAATTTTCTTAGCGTTTTAAGAGGCATGACGTTAAAAATGGCCCTATTATCAATGAAAACCTTGTTAACCGGCTTACCACATATGTGAGCGTTAACATATAATGGTTTCAAGTGCGGGATTGCTCCTTCTGGTATAGGTGAAAAAACCATAGGTGAGGGTCTGCCAGTCATCGCCACCCACTCTAGTTCTTCTTCTTCCTCGAACTTTGCCCAAATGGGTTCTTTTTCTTCTTTAGCGAACCATCGCATATCTGTCATCCTGACTTCGAACCCGGCTTTAGCAAGCTTTAGTATCTTGCTGCGCAAAACTTTCGCTTCTTCTGGAGCAAAGGACCCGAAAACTATCTCAAGAGTCTCTTCCTCTGCATCTTCTATTTCAGGATCAATGTTGATCCGTTTGCAGAATTGACATTGAAAACGCTTCTTGATAGGCTTGCCGGTCTGCCAGTGCTCCTCTGGTCGATCGCTTGAGCTTTTCCTTTTGGGTGACGATTCCTTCTTATCCTTCCCCTTATCTACTCGTTTTCCATGCCGAGCCGCAAACCTGCGCTTAGCATTACGAATTTGTGTGCGATTCATACTTGGAAATCGAGGATCTATGTCTATTGGCAGAGGCTTTCTGTTCCGGCTCCATTTGTCATGGACTGGCTGTGGTTTACGCGTTGGTCGGTCTCGTACCACGACTTTATCTTTCAATTCCACTTTGAAGGACCCATCTTCTTTGTCCCATTTCTCTGCCACTCTGGTTTCACAAACTTTGAACTTGTCTCCCTGATTGTGTTCCCGCTCTTTGGGTTTGCGTTCCTTTCGCTTGGTGTTCTCTTCATCATCACTTTGGGTATCTTGTGAAGAACGTAGGGAGATCACTGCAGTAGTCACTTTTGGGAACGGCTGATGTTCCACTCCCATTGTTACATACTTGAACCTCCCTGCTTTGATAGCCTTATGTATTTCCTTTCGGAAATGTCTACATTGATTAGTATAATGCGTAAAAGAATTATACCACTTACAGTATGGCCTCCCTTTTATCTCTTCCTTCGTTGCTAAACGCTGCCCTTTGGGAATGTGAATTTGCCCATATGCTAGCAGAATATCAAATATTTCGTTTGCCTTAGATGCATCAAAGGTCGGTTGCTCCTTCTCTTCTGTTCCTAGAAGGGGCTTTAGTTTGGAACACACATAAGGCTTGCCGCTCACAATTTCAGCCGCCATTTCTTCAATGATATTTCCCTGTTCATCATCTGGCGCGTACATCTCTGTGTCAACACTGGCTATCTGTTGAACCCTATCCAGTCGGAAATTATGATCTCTTTCCCTAAAAAGAGATTTTAACCTTCCTGCCTTGGAAGTCAAACTGGCCAGGTCCTAAATATTATGGGTTGTCAACGCATCCCGAAGTCTGGAATGCATATTCCTGACCACCAAATTGGTCATCTCGCTTTCCTCGATGATTGTCGGGCACTGTCCCTTCATTAAACGTACCCGCTCAATAAATTGATAAGCAGTCTCTTCTGGCATCTACCGAATTTTTAAGAGATCTGTAAGTGAGACTGATGGGAGCGGATTAAAAAATCTTGCATGGAATGCAGACTCCAATCCTTCCCAAGTTTGCAACTGTCCTGGCGGCAGATTAGCGAACCATGAAAAAGCAGTTCTTGTGAGCGATAATCCAAACAACTGTAATTTGTAGAACAAACTATTGCCCACTTCCCCCAATTGAGCCGTGAAACGTCCCACATGCTCAATGGTTGATGCTCCATCTTCTCTTGAGAACGAATGAACGTCGGGTGGTATGTAATTCCTTGGAAGGGGGTGCTCATTAATGATTCTTTCTGAGAATGGTCTCTGATATGCAGGTCTGTTGACCGTCTGAGGATTCATTCCAAAATTCTCAAGACCAGAGCAATGTCCTCCGGATCTACCCTGGGTGGGACAGGGTCAAATACAGGAATGGGATTGTGAGCCTGTCCTCCCAATCTTTACTCTCTGGGGTCGGTTGGTTCAGTTCTAACGCCCAGCGGGACATTATTTGCTTGCATTCTTGATGGTGACACCCCTGGCGGTGTCTGGGTGGGTTGAAGAGTAACCCTTGATAATGTTTGATCTAACATATTCTGCATCAGATTTTGTTGCTCGCGCAACATGATGTTCTGTTGCTCAGGCAACATATTTTGCATTGCCGAAGTTTGCTGATTGTTTAATTGTTGAACATAAGCCAACCAATCGGTAGGTGGTTGGGGAATCTCCCCTGGATTTTTCATGACAGGTGGTGAAACATTTTCTCCCACTGGTGCTGATGATGATTGAGGTTTTGAGCCTGCCATACTAATTTTTTTGAAGATTTGGCCAGACCTCAGTCGTATGAAATTCTCTGATAATGTAGGATCAGCAATCTTGCCTTGCTCCCACTGTGGTCGCCAATTTGTTGATGTATTTTTTCAACAAACAAAAAGTAAAATCCAAAAATAGGAAATTATTCTCGAACTTGATATATTTGGCATCTGAGATTAGCAATCTCTAAATACTGTACGGTACAGAAAATTAATTGGAAATTAAAATGCTGAAAATTTAAATGATGATCCCCAAATCACTGACTTTGTCGTCGTTTGAAGTTGATTGAAGATACCCTGCCACTTGCAAATTTTAATCCTTAAATACTCTTCAGATACGGTACTGGAAACCATCGCCTGAACGGTTACAACGCCTCCTTTTTCAACCATCTGCTAACCCTTCTTCTGCTGACACGTGCCCTCAGCCGACCGAATTATCATTCCCACTCACTCTCAACAGTATCCAACTCTTTGGACCGACCACAGACCTTCCGCCCTTTTGGCCCGAACGCAACTCTTCCGTCCTGTTGGTCCGACCACAAATCTTACGCCTTATTGGCCCGACTGCAAACCTTCCGCCTTTCTGGACCGACTGCAGACCTTACGCCTTGTTGGTCTGACTGCAAACCTCCCGACTTGCAGACCACCCGACTTGTTTGGTCAAGCCGCAAACCTCCCGACTTACAGACCATCCGACTTGCTGGTCCAGCCGAAAACCTCCCGACTTACAGACCATCCGACTTACACATCGTCCGACTCACGGACCTTCCGACTTGAGGACCTTCTGACCTGCGGACTTCCCGACCTGCGGACCTTCCGACCTGCGGACCTTCCGACCTGCGGACTTTCCGACCTGCGGACCTACCGACCTGCGGACTTTCCGACCTGCGGACCTTCCGACCCGCTATTTCCTTAGAAATACATCTACTTTACTTGAGTTCCCCGCAATGCCCCTCGACCAGTTCGATCATCTCAATTGTTAGGCCCATTTTTCTTTTTACCTTGGGCTTTTTAACCTAATTCTAAATTTCATCCGTAACAACTTGCCCGCTGCCATTGGACTTTCAAACGCCATTTTTCAATCGCCGTTTGGAAGTTCATAAACCACAACCCCACTGAGGAATTGCTTCTGCCACTGCAATCAGTTTTTTGCAGCATATTGTGTCACAAAAATCCCCCTTTCTTCAAAACTACTCCTGTTAATTGCAATCTCTGCAACTCCAAACCATGGCAAATCAATACATCCCTGCACTCCCCTTCGACGGATCAATCCCTGAAACCACTTTTGTGTCGACGAAAATGCTCACTCCAACCGTTCGTCCATATTGAAGTACTTCTGAAGACTCCGACCGAATGAGAGAAGTCTTGGAAGTCCGAAACCTACTAGCTGTCAACAATCCTAACTACAATGCAGCCCGCATCCATGACAACATCAAAACTCATTTGACGGACCCCAAGGATCCATACCGCACATGGTACCAAAGAGTAGCAGAACATTTCCAGGATCAATGGAAAAATCAACAGATTGATCAAGCCATACGTCTGTCTACTCTCCCATGTCATTTACATGAGAAAGTTCTTCTAGCAATGGCGGCGTTTTGGCACCCTGAGATTTGCGCCTTCCTTCTTCCAACAGCCCCCATCGGCCCCAGCCTTATGGATGTGGCCATGATCGCTCAACTACCAATCGTAGGGGAAAACCCTATAATGGGTACCCTAGACGGACAAG